AATTCAGGGTGGATAGTAAGCTTGTTTGCATTAAACCAGGAGAAGACATGAGAAAGCTCTTGATTAACAATGTTTTCTAGAGTAGCCAAGTCTTTACGACGAAAAAAAATATTGGTATCGTCGGCAAAGAGAATGAAAGAGAGGTAACTAGAGGAGTGGAAAATATCATTAATGTATAAGAGGAAAAGGAGAGGGCCTTTCAGTACAAAAGGCTATGCTCTTACCAGTGACAGCAACGATAAGGACACAACAGGGCATTAATACTGTAAGAAGCTGCGAGTTATCTTCGAGGGAGCTCATCGCAAGGATATCCTGTTAGTGATAAACAACTCTGACACTTGGGTTGGATCTGAGCCTGGGAGAAAAAGACAAACTCTTATGGTGTACTAAATGACTAATAACAATGGAGCGGTGGAAGGAGGGGTGGGGATGGTTGAAGAGAGGTGTTGCATTTAACTCATTTGATAATAATCACCGGAAATTTATTTACATTTCCAGATTGACCACTGAGCGCCCACTCAGTTACGAGCCCACATATTGAGAGCTAGGTGTTTAACTGATTGAATTTTTGCGCGCTTCTCTTCTGCGATTTCTTTTAATTGCAGCTCACAAGCAAAGATCATTTCTTCATTTGAACACAATCCACAGGTTAAATGCTATTATTTATGTACCACAACGCACCATGGCTCCAAGTAATGAACTTCAGCGTATTATCGGTTCAGTTTGTTCCGCAACAACGCATGTTCACTTGAACAAACAGCTCTTCTCATTCAGCAAATAAAATTGAAGTTTCAAAATACAAAACTAGGCGAAAAGGTAAAAGATTAACACTGACAATTCCTGTTCTGTTGCATAGCAGCCTTGGAGAAGCAGGCTGGTTGACGTCATTACCATTACAGGTTTTTCTAAACCTGAGGCAATTCTAAGTTCTAAGGGTGAATTAACCCCTCTTGGAAGTGGTATCAGTGACGCATTTGTAATCGCTTCGTGCCTCCAGAACTATAGACCATCTATTTCATAAGCTGGCTGTACCAGTATCAATGCTAATGTCTCGTAAACGAGCGAGAACGCGCTTATATGAATTTTATGTCGACTAAACCTTCACGTCACTTTTTCAATTAGCTCCACAAACTTCCGGTCGGACTCTAGTCTCGTTCATGCGCATTGACACATGAATGCACGCTTCCGGTCCCGACGTCCAAGGCCACGTACGTAAGTCGATGCTTGATGGCCGAATAATCGCTGCTTTGTGTTAATGTAAGGGAGCAAGAAGAGCGTGTACATTCGACGGTAAAGGAATGACAGTACTGAATACTCACAACGGGGTTCTTAACTTTCTGCTTCGCCGGGCGAAGTTTTGTAGTCATAGGAGAACTTTTTCTTCACTCGACAAAAGAACGATCAGATCTTCTCACACAAACAGCACAAATGGAATTGCTTTTCGATCCGAATTGAAAAGAAAAGCAAAAAGGGTTGTGGTTAAGCTTGGATCAGCTGTTATCACTAGAGATGACGAATGCGGTGTTGCTCTCGGAAGACTTGCCTCTATCGTTGAACAAGTAAGGCGCTAAATCAAATTTGATAATGAGTTGCTATAGAGTAGCTTACGAGTGCCGAGTAATACATGTACCTGTTAAGCTAATAAGATATGTCGCCCTGTGATACATTATTGCGATCCAGGTTGATTCCTCTTCATTTAAGATCATAATATTTCATCTCTCGCTGTAACTCTGTACAGCTTCATTCGATCCTCAAAAAATCACGTTTTTTGTTACTATAATTATACCATCACACGTGCGTTCACCTAACCCTACCTCAAATAACAAAATTTTCAATATCAGGGCGGCAAGCGGTTAAAATATTTCAGGGAAACGATGAAACGAACTAAGAATATGACAAAAAGTATTGATTTTAATTTTGATTCATGCTATATTTATCTCCCACCTCCGCTTCTGATTCTTAAGTCTTCTTAAGTTATTTTTAGTCTTCAGTGTGTTTGTATGTAAACGATGTAGTGTGAGGTCAAGATGTCTGGATACTGGCCAAGTGTTTTTTCTCTTGTGTTATTTCATGCCCAATTCAATGTTTTAGTTTTTAAATGCCAGAAAAATAACCATCCAAATATTTGGCAATCATAACCAAGCATTAAGTATTATATTACTAAGCCAAAAGATAATGGCAAAAAAATTTGCTCAGTTGTTAAATTAATTCACAGCACTTATTCTTAGTTAATGCTTCCAAGGCTTTTACGGTAGTTGCTTTATTTTGTCCCTTTTCTACCAGGCAAGCTTCATGGAAACATCTTCATGAAAAAGTTGTCTAGAAATTAACTTACCTCAGCTTGACTCC